CTGATTGGGCATTCTTCAGGAAGTGGAGCTTCACCACATTTGCTAAGCTCTAGGTAAAAGGAGTGCACCTGTACTTGCAAAGTGCACAGTCTTTTTGTCGTCAGTAAATCTACTCCATAGTGTGTAAATATTTTATAATGAATAAAAAACTACATTTTTTGCAAGTATGCATCTAAAATTAGGCAATTAAACATTGACCCACAGACACTTTCATACACACAGTCACGCTCAAGCTGGCCATAAATGGATCCAACATTTGGCCGATTTAGCAGGGACTGGACCAGGGGTGGACTGATCATTTGGAAATTCGGGCACTGCCCGAGGGCCCGGGGTCAGTAGGGGGCCCCATGAGATGCCCCTGGCACCTTTTTCATAGGCTTTTTTGAGTTTGGGCAAGGACACAGGGGCCCCATGATCCCCTATCGCCCGGGGGCCCCATGAGTTGTCAGTCCACCCCTGGACTGGACAAATTTCCATCCATTTATGTGCAGGCTGGTTGTACAAAAGTCAGTCTACCTATCGACTTCCATCCATTCCTTCCAAATTCAGAAGCGTACAAAAATCTTTCAAACAACATTCAAATGTGTCTGAGAATTTCTGTACAAATTTTCTGTACAAATTTTCCCGTGTCTTTTCCTAAGAATTTTCCTTCGAAATTCTATCCGTCCATAGTCAGCTTTAACAATGACCAACAAAGTAACAAAGCAACTACTACTTTTTTTTTTTTTCTTTACATTTGATCTGTTATTTAATTTTGAAAAATGAACGCAAATGTATTTCTAAAACATTTTATTTTTTGAAATTCACAAAAAAAAAAAAAAAAAGCAATCTTTAAATTTTCAACTTTGAAAGGAAACAAAAATATTCAAAAAAAAAAGTATATTGCTTAAATAAGACCCCTTTCCTGCTGCAACAGAATTCACAGGGACTGGAGAAACAATGATCTTCGTAGATGTAATTTGTTCTATATTATACGGCTGACAGTATGTATTGGATGAGTATAGATATCCTGAAATCTCTGAATTGCAAAATAACACTGTACCCGATATAGGTCAGTTCTAATAATCAGTGTTTTTTGTTTTGTTTTTTTTAATGGTAGAATTTATTTAGCAGGTTAGATGCAAGTTCCAACTTTAACAGGATATTTGAAGTTTTTTTTTTTTTTTTTTTTAAATAAAATATTTTTAAATTACATTTATCACTCTTTACTGTGTAGCTACAAGAAATGTAGGACCTTGCGTAAGCACATGGAAAGGCGGGAAGGGTATACAAATGTAGTGCAATATACACATATACACACTCCAAAGACATGCTGGTAGGTGAATTGGCTCCTGTCTAAAGCCACGGAAGAGGTCTCCAGATCTACTCAGACCTTGATATATTTTATGTTCCTAGGGGCCAAAATAGCCATTGTGACCACTTTGAATCCCAACCATGACACCACCTGCCTGGAGTTTGCATGTTCTCCCTGTGCCTGTGTGGGTTTCCTCTGGGTACTCCGGTTTCCTCCCACACTCCAAAGACATGTTGGTAGGTGAATTGGCTGCTGTCTAAATTGTCCCTAGTATGTGTATGTATGAATGTGAGTTAGGGACCTTAGATCGTTACTTCCCTTGAGGGTTAGGGACCTTAGATTGTACTCCCCTTGAGGGTTAGGGACCTTAGATTGTACGCCCCTTGAGGGTTAGGGACCTTAGATTGTACGCCCCTTGAGGGTTAGGGACCTTAGATTGTACGCCCCTTGAGGGTTATGGACCTTAGATTGTACGCCCCTTGAGGATCAGGGACCTTAGATTTACGCCCCTTGAGGGTCAGGGACCTTAGATTGTACGCCCCTTGAGGGTCAGGGACCTTAGATTGTACGCCCCTTGAGGGTCAGGGACCTTAGATTGTACGCCCCTTGAGGGTCAGGGACCTTAGATTGTACGCCCCTTGAGGGTCAGGGACCTTAGATTGTACGCCCCTTGAGGGTCAGGGACCTTAGATTGTACGCCCCTTGAGGGTCAGGGACCTTAGATTGTACGCCCCTTGAGGGTCAGGGACCTTAGATTGTACGCCCCTTGAGGGTCAGGGACCTTAGATTGTACGCCCCTTGAGGGTCAGGGACCTTAGATTGTACGCCCCTTGAGGGTCAGGGACCTTAGATTGTACGCCCCTTGAGGGTCAGGGACCTTAGATTGTACGCCCCTTGAAGGGTCAGGGAGGGTTACGCCCCTTGAGGGACTGATGTGACTGTACAATATATATGTAAAGCGCTGCGGAAATTGATGGTGCTACCCATATAGAAGACAAATATATTTGAAATATATTTTTAAAAACATTCTTTCCAAATATATTGACATATATTTGAAATACTAAAATTTCGGCCATATTCAATCTATTTAAAAATATATTTCAATAAATATATATACTGTATGTTGAAATGCGTTTTTATTACAAAAAAATATGAAAAATATTTTTAAAAATACAAATCTACATTTTTGGAATGCGTTTACAAATATAGGTAAAACTATATGTTGAAATTACTTCTTTATATGTTAAAAATATTCTGAAGAATATATTACAAAAATACATATATTTTAAAAAATATTTTTCATATATTTTGTAATATATAAAAAAAGCATTTCAACATGCAATATATATATATATATATATATATATATATATATATATTTGAAAATGCATTCCAAAAATGTAGATTTGTATTTTTTAAAGACATACAGTATATTTTAAATGTATTTTTAATAATATTTTTCATATATTTTGTAATAAAAGTGCATTTCAACATGCAGTGTGTGTATATATATTTATTGAATATGGCCAAATTTGTAGCATTTCATATATATGTCAATATATTTGGGAAGAATATTTGTAAAATATATTTAAAATATATTTTTCTTCCATATGGGATGGTACTGGAGTACCATGTGATTTGGTGCAATGCGTTTTTTTAAATGTAGTACAAGCGCTGCTTTTTTGTGTGGTCTGGTTCGTTTTGCAGCTTCTTCAAATGAATGGGCTGTCAAAAGGCACCACAAGGGAACACGTGCATTCCTGTGGGATCCCAGCAGGGGCGGACTGACAACTCATGGGGCCCCCGGGCAATAGGGGATCATGGGGCCCCTGTGTCCTCACCCAAACCCAAAAAAGCCTATGAAAAAGCCAATGAAAGGTACCAGGGGCATCTCATGGGGCCCCCCTACTGAGCCCGGGCCCTCGGGCAGTGCCCGAGTGCTCAAATGGTCAGTCCGCCCCTGGGTCCCAGTGTGAACTGGCTCACAGTGCACTGGCCAAGGAGTCTTGTGGCTGGGTGGGCAAAGCCTTTTGAGGATTCAGAGACACTATTTTCTCATTAGACGTGCATCCCCCCCCCCCATGTGATAGCATTCATTGGGCAGATCCATAGCCAACTGACAGCCTGCTATTGGCTTTAGGACCTTGCCACTTTCAATCACAAGGAGGGAGCAGACCTGATTGAGAACTCATCCCTAAGCAGACCCAGGGCTGTGGATAAGGGGGGTACCACTAGTCCTCCTGTACGGGGCCCGGGCCAGCAGGGGGGCCCAGGCAGCTGGGTGAATTGGATGTGGGCAGAGAGGGTTAACGGGAAGCAGGGGTGGACTGACAACACATGGGGCCCCCCGGCAATAGGGGATCATGGGGCCCCTGTGTCCTTGCCCAAACTCAAAAAAGCCTATGAAAAAGGTACCAGGGGCATCTCATGGGGCCCCCTACTGACCCCGGGCCCTCGGGCAGTGCCCGAGTTTCCAAATGGTCAGTCTGCCATTGACAGGGGAGATTACTGGAATCAATCCCCTGTATGCCTCTCCCTGCAGCAGCTGAAAGCTGGGTTCTTCTCCTCCCCTCCCAGCTGGCTTTCAGCTGCTGCAGAGAAAAACATACAGGGGATCGGTTCCAGTAATTTACCAGCCCCTTCCATTCCTGAATGAACACAATGTTTTTTTGTGGGGATGGGGGGCCTTGTTAGGTTGGCTGTATGGGGCCTGTAATTTGGGGGCATGTGAAAGCTGGGTTCTTGTCCTCCCCTCCCAGCTGGCTTTCAGCTGCTGCAGAGAAAAACATACAGGGGATCGGTTCCAGTAATTTACCAGCCCCTTCCATTCCTGAATAAACACAATGTTTTTTTTTGGGGATGGGGGGCCCTGTTAGCCCTGTTAGGTTGGCTGTATGGGGCCTTGTAATTTGGGGGCATCTGAAAGCTGGGTTCTTCTCCTCCCCTCCCAGCTGGCTTTCAGCTGCTGTAGAGAGAAACATACAGGGGATCAGTTCCAGTAATTTACCAGCCCCTTCCATTCCTGAATGAACGCAATGTTTTCTGTGGGGATCGGGAGGCCTCTCAGGTTGGCTGTAAGGGGCCCCGTGGTTTCTAACAGCAGCCCCACCACGTTTCGCCCACTGTCAGGGTTACTGTTGGCTCTGACAGATGGGGAGGTGAGGGGGCATTGGTAGCATGCCGCTCTGCTACACAGTGTACAGAGATGGGCACTCTGCACTGTATCTGTCTCTGTACGACAGTTTAGGGCGGGTCTTAATTCTCTCCAGTTTGGAGGTAATTATTGTCGAATTTTGTGGAGCCATAACCACTTTGTAAAACTACCTAAATCTAACGCACGTGTGGGTACAGCTACGCGAAAACTGGTGGCAGGGTATTTTGAATCTGGGGCTATACCAATTGGAAAAGCATTGAAAGTCCTTCATTGAATCCCCCTCTGTATTTTAATTTCTTCTTGCAAGCCTCCCAGACCAGATCTGTCTGATGGAAATCAATGGACGGTTCTAAGTCTCTAAAGATGGGAAACATGAACAGTGCTCATGGTAGTCGGAGAACATGTCATCTGGGCTGCCCAGGCTTTAGGTCACATGGGGGAGCTGGGATTTTGTGTTTTTTTTCCTGTGGTGCCCTCTAGGTGTGGAAAAAAAAAATCAAAAAGACTGAGCACCAGGAAAGGGGTAATGTCATCACATTGATCAGACCTGGCTCAGAACGGATGCGGAGACACAAATATCCTCAAGCGGATAATGGAGCTGCCTCGGAAATTGACCACAGTGTTCACAGAGACCATCTCCAGGTCCAACACCAGATCACGTGGCCCTTTGATTGGTCGCGTCAACACCAGCGTGGCACTGATGGGGCCTGTTTGCTGTAAAAAAGAAAAAAAAGAAAAAGATAGGTCAGTTTACGACAAAAAAAACACAAAGATTTAATATATATACTTTTCTACTTGGTCCAATTATACGACACCAATCAGAATTACAGATACCCAGAATCCTCCAGGCAGAGCCAACATTTTCTTGTCTAAAGGTCACCTAAAACCCATGGTAGGGGTATGAAATTTACCCTTTAAGGGGTGTAAACATTACCTGGAATGATACTTATGCAGGCCATACATGGGTCGAATTCTGAACGATTTTTCGTCCGAAAATCGAAAAAGTCGTTCGCTCGGTAATACGACGGCGCCATCAATGATTTAAAAAATCGACCGACCGAGTCATAAAGTTCACCCAGGGGCGGAATGACCATTTGGAAACTCGGGCGCTGCCCGAGGGCCCGGGGGTCAGTAGGGGGCCCCATGAGTTGTCCCTGGTACCTTTTTCATAGGTTTTTTTGAATTTGGGCAAGGACACAGGGGCCCCATGATCCCCTATTGCCGGGGGCCCCATGAGTTGTCAGTCCGCTCCTGAGTTCACATCATATAACAGGCGAAACTTCTGTTCCTTCCAGGTCACGGCTCATGCGCATATTCTTTTTGGAAAAACAATTGTACGATTTGACCATCGTTGAGTTGAAAATCAGTCGTTTTTCACGAATTTTCCAACATGCCCGATCACCGAAAAGGGGAGGAACCTCAAGAATCGGAAGGTGCCATTGACCCACTAACAGAGCAAAAATCGGCCAATTATTCTTAGGTCGAATTTCAACCCATGTATGGCCGGCATAACTCACCGGCCACTTTATTAGGTCCACCTGTTCAATTGCTTGGTAACACAAATTGCTAATCAGCCAATCACATGGCAGCAACTCAATGCATTTAGGCATCTAGATGTGGTGAAGACAACTTGCTGAAGTCCAAACCGAGCATCAGAAATGGGGAAGAATAGGGGATTTAAGTGACTTTGAACCTTTGAACTGTAAACCCCAGAGATGGTTGTGCGTGAAAATCCCAGCAGATCAGCAGTTTTAGAAATACTCAGGCCAGCCCGTCTGGCACCAACAACCATGCTACATTCAAAGTCACTTAAATCCCCTTTTTTCCCCATTCCATAGCTTGGTTTGAAAATCGGTCGAATTTCGACCCATGTATGACCGGCATTAGTTTGCTAAAGCACTATGGGGTTTATCTACTAAAGCTGGTTCACTCAGAATCTCGTGCACTTCGGCATAGAAACAAATCAGCTTACAGGTTTTTGTTTTTTTTTTGCTGAAACGTAATTGATTGGCTACCATGCACAGACGCACGAGAATCTGAGTGAACCATCTTTAGTAAACAAACACGTGTGTCAATCAACTGCCTTTTTTTTCTATCGAAAAAGTTACAATGTTACAGTTTTATCACTGGAGAAGAGACTGAGGAAATGCTTCCTATTGCCTGCAGAAGACCGATCTCAACCTTGGCAAAGTTTTTGACTTAAGTTTAACCATTTCCCATCCGGCCACTGTATATTAAACGGCCGGACAGTGGCAGTTCAGGGGCGGTTTGCCGTTCATAAACGGCATCCGCCATTTTGGATTGTGTGCGCTCCCTGGAACACCGATCACTGTACAGGACCCGATCATGTGATCACTGATTGTCCAAGCAGTGATCACATGAAAAGGTGTAAGCAAGATGTCACTTCTGACATCATTGCTTACTACATGTGAAATCTGTGAATGATCACAGAGGTCACATGGTACAGGGCTATTCACAACAGCCTTGTACCATGTGACAAGCTGGGACCAATCACAGCTCACACAGTATTTCTCAATGGCTGCAAGAATGCAGCCAGAGAGAAGGAGAAATTATTGCTTTTATAGCCTTTATGGGTGTAAAAGCAATCAGTGTAAAAAAAAAAACAAAAAAACTTTATCACCCCCCACAAGTAGTACAGTGTCACTATGGTGACATTGTACTGCTAGGGTGACAGTATGTTAAAAAAAACAAATAATAATATAAAAGAAAAATGTAAAAAAATGTATTTGAAAAATTATAATTTTTGGTTATAAACTAATTTGGATTATTGTTTTTTACTAAAAAGATAACTAAATCCATTTTGGCCAAGATTTATGAAGAAAGATTATTTATTTGCAAAATTTTATAAGAAAAACACTTTTTTTTTTAATTTTTGGACTTTTTCATTTATATAGCAAAACAAATAAAAAATCCCAGTGGTGAATAAATAGCACCAAAATAAAGTTTTATCTGTCTCAAAAAAAATGCTAAAAAATTCATATGGGTACAGTGTTGCATGACCGCGCAATTGTCATTCAAAGTGCGACAGCACTGAAAGCTGAAAATTGGCCTGGGGAGGAAGGGGGGGAAAGTGTCCGGACTGGAAGGGGGGAAAGTGTCCAGACTGGAAGGGGGGTGAAAGTGTCCGGACTGGAAGGGGGGTGAAAGTGTCCGGACTGGAAGGGAGGGGAAAGTGTCCGGACTGGAAGGGGGGGGAAAGTGTCCGGACTGGAAGGGGGGGGGAAAGTGTCCGGACTGGAAGGGGGGGGAAAGTGTCCGGACTGGAAGGGGGGGGAAAGTGTCCGGACTGGAAGGGGGGGGGGGTAAAAGTGTCCGGACTGGAAGGGGGTGAAAGTGTCCGGACTGGAAGGGGGGGGAAAGTGTCCGGACTGGAAGGGGGGTGAAAGTGTCCGGACTGGAAGGGGGTGAAAGTGTCCGGACTGGAAGGGGGTGAAAGTGTCCGGACTGGAAGGGGGTAAAAGTGTCCGGACTGGAAGGGGGGGGAAAGTGTCCGGACTGGAAGGGGGGTAAAAGTGTCCAGACTGGAAGGGGGGGAAAGTGTCCGGACTGGAAGGGGGTAAAAGTGTCCGGACTGGAAGGGGGGGGGGAAAGTGTCCGGACTGGAAGGGGGGGAAAGTGTCTGGACTGGACATTAAGCGGTTAAGAGTGACTTTTTTTAATTTTTTTTTTTGTATTTCAATGGTTTTTATTAACTTTTTAAAACGTTTTAACAAAGAAGGACTTGAGCAAAAGACACGCCCCCCCCCCCCCCCCCCACACACACACACACACACACAGGGGCTCTCAATGGCACATTATAAATATAGAGAACAATGTTAGAACACCAACATTGCAGAAGGTGCGCCCACGCTGGGGCCATCAATGGCACATAATATACAAAAAGGGTGATATAACACCAACAGGAACTCAAACCAAAGGGAAATATCTATCGCCTCACAGAAATCAGACAAAAGTAAAGAGGAAAAAAAAGAGTAAAGAAAGAAGAAGACAAGACCAGAAGCAGGGGTCCGAGAACGCCAACCCAGAACAGCATCATAGACCCAGACTAGCCGGGGGGGAATCCAGGGTCCGTTGAGGGCAGCAAGGAGTGCATTTTCCAGGAGTTGTTACCATAGCCCTAGCTGAGTCCATCCCCAAACGCAGGAGTACAGTTTGCTGTGTTTTCGGAGCCGGGGGGGGGAGCATAGGTCAACCACGGCTCTCATATTTTCAAAAATTTCCATTGGGAATTGTTACGGATACTTGACGTCTGTTCATTGAGCATCAGAGTGGTCATACGGTCCAGAACCCCCTGAAGAGGGACAGATGTATTTTTCCAGGCCTGAGCAATTGTTCTAGTTGCCGACAAGAACAAATAGGAAGCCAACTTCTGCTGGTGAGCCAACAGGCCCGGTATGGGACAATGAAGCAAAGCGTACCGAGCATCCCGGCATATAGAGAGATGGAAGAATGTGTAAAGAAGGCCCAAATAAATGAGACCAAAAACAAATCAGTCTCGGGCAAGACCACCATATATGCAACACATCTCCACAATGGCCACAACCCCGAAAGCAGTGATCACTATAGGCAGGGTTCACCTGGGCTATACAAGCCGGGACCCGATAAGCGTGACTTTTAAAATGATAAAAAAAGTTTGTCTTTATAAAATGCTGTATATTGTAATATGTCAGGAACGTATTTCTTGTTACATTGCCGAAAGGTCCACATTGCACACAGCACATTGAAAACAGTTTGTGTGTATTTGTACTCTATAGATATACAGTGGCTAAAATTATTATTTGATCCCTTGAAGATTTTGTAAGTCCCCACTTACAGGGAAATGAAGGGTCTATCATTTCTATCACAGGTGTATTTTAAATAATAGAGACAGACTATCAACCAAAAATCCAGAAAAACACACAATACAAATGTTATAAATTGAGTTGTAGAACAATGAGCAAAACAATAATTCTGGTTCCCACAGACTGGCGATGTGCTCATGTGTACACAGATTAGTCCTGTCAAGTTAAGAAGGTGCTCCTAACAACAACTTGTTATGTGTATAACAGACACCTGCCCACAGAATCTCTTTTATCCATTCAAACCTCAGCACCCACCATGGGCAAGACCAAAGAGCTGTCAAAGGACATCAGAGAGAACATTGTAGACCTCCACAAGGCTGGAATGGGCTACAAGACCATCAGCAAGAAGCTTGATGAGAAGGAGACAACTGTTGGAGCGATTATTCGCAAATGGAAGAAATACAAAATAACCATTAATTGCCCTCGGTCTGGAGCTCCATGCAAAATTTCGTCTCATGGGGTAAGGATGATCATGAGAAAAGTCAGGGATCAGCCCAGAACTACACAGGAAGAGCTTGTGAATGATCTCAAGGCAGTCGGGAACACAGTCACCAAACCATTGGTAACACAATACGCCTCTATGGGTTGAAATTGTCAGGGAGCGAGGAGCCAGACACACAAGGAGGTGCAATTAAAGGTAGGTTTATTATACAACAACAAGACAGAGTCTATGCAAGTCCAACAGCAACAGCGGATGACTTGGTAGAACAGTAGCCAGGAAGGATGATCGCCAGAGCCGGGGTCAGAAGCCAGGAAGGATGATCGCCAGAGCCGGGGTCAGAAGCCAGGAAGGATGGTCGCCAGAGCCGGGGTCAGAAGCCAGGAAGGATGGTCGCCAGAGCCGGGGTCAGA